TGATACTACAAATAAAACACACACTTTTAAAAGTGTGAAAAAATCAGAGACCGTGCCTAATCGCAATGCAACAAATCCTCCAAAATTCAATGCAACACACCCACCACCGCCGATGCCAACTGCGGAGAAATTTTTAAAAAATCTAACAAAGGTGAGACAACTGTATTTATCAAAATAGTTTGAATTTTACGCATCAGAGTTGAACCCTTCAACTTGAACGTCAGGGCGAAAAAAGTGAAATTTCTATTTAAAAAAAGAAACATTTCATCTTAAACAGGTTTAAAAATGATTTTAAAAACTAAAAAATAATCTTTTACAGTTAAACTCAGTTAAAGATCATTCATCGGACGAAAAAGAGCCCAAACTAAATCATATTGAATCAATAAAAAAATCTGAAGACATTACTAGTACACCTGAAAACGGAGAATACATTGAAACCAATCTAGATGCACAATTGGAATTCGAGATGAAAACCAGGTTGATAACATGTTGAGTCAACAATGTTGACTTTAATTTTTGTTTTCACAACTGCGTTTATTGAACCTGGTTCAGTTTTCGTAGAAAAGCAAATGAAAGTTTGCAGAAAAAAGAGAAATTTTTCAAGAAAGTTGACTTAATTCCAGGGATTTGACCAGTTGCATGGATAAAAATTTTGAGCCACGAGTCTATCGACGCGGTGATTATTGGGTATTACAAAATTACATCCGTGCAGTTCATGGAGAGATTCGATGCACGGAGAGTGTCACCTATGTTACACATGGCGATTATACATTTTTAGACAACGTGATACCGGTTCTTGAAAGGTTCAAATTTCCACAATGAAAATATAACATCAAAAGCTATGTTCTCAATTTCGTTTAAAATTTTGAAATTAATCGACAACATTTGTAGGTGGTTAGCCCCGTTGAGCATGTCAATATATACGCCAGGCACTGATCTTCAGCCAACAATCGACTCAATCAAATATTTGCGCCAGTGTTTGTCTAAATCACATCTCGTGCGAAAGTTAGCCACATTTCACATTTTCTTCGATAGCGATCATATGCCGAATGTTGTGAGTTTTAATCGCTTCGAATCGATTTCAATTTACATTTAATTTTTTTCTGTTTTAACCTTTATGTTTGATTAATTAAATTCATTTCCTCTTGTTCCTAGGTTCCAAAATCCAGTGAAGTTCTGTCAGAGCCATATTATTGCTCTTTACCACCACCGTATTTGAATGTAAAAACGAAAAGTTTGTACAAAAATCAACAAAATATGATTTACCCCATAAATGTGGCTCGAAATTCAGCTCGAGACGCCGCTCTCACTCATTTCATATTTGTGAGTGACATCGAATTATATCCCAGTCCAGATCTACCGCGTACATTTTTGGAAATGATTGTTCGAAACGACCCACCATTTAATTCAACCAAACCGAAAGTATTTCCACTTGGCATTTTTGAGGTAGATAAATCATCGCCAGTACCATGGACAAAGACAGAGTTACAAGATTTATACAAAAAAGGCAAAATTATTCCGTTTCACAAGCAAATGTGCGGTAATTGTCATCGAATACCAGAGGCAGATAAGTGGATGCAAGCCAATGAAACTGAAGGTTTCACGAATTCTTCTAAATTTTAATTGAATTTTCCCATAATGTTTTGTTTAGTTTCACCAAATAACCAAATTGATTTTATTCCCAAGCAATTTGTTTTGCTTATCGAAAAAAATCGAATTGTTGGAGTTTCACACGAATGAATCTTTTTTAGGCTTGGACATTTTTACGGTAGGTAAACGTAAAGGTAACTTCCGCCATTGGGAACCGATATTCATTGGAACTAATGATGAACCATATTATGATGAACGCTTGAGTTGGGAAGGAAAATCAGACAAAATGACCCAGGTATTACCTGCATTGCATCGATTCCATCATATACTTCGTGGATATATTTCAGACTCTTCCTACTTCCCTTGAAATACATTTTCATATTATTTTTTCATTATTTTTTTACATTTTCATATGTCAATGTTAAAATGTTGTGTACTTTTCACATTCTAGAGTCGAATCGTGTGATATCTTGACTACGAGTTTTACGTTCTGGACAATGCATTTCTGGTTCACAGACCTGGCATCAAAACCTTCCATTCTGATAGGCGAAAAATCACACTTTCAAGAAAAAGTAATAAACTCATCCATGATGTTATTGAACCACAATTGAAAATTATTTATGGACATAGAGACGGTTGCTAGTTTGAGATACGAAAAGACTTCGTTCCATAGTTATTCGATCTTCAAGCGTTTCACGGTTGTTTCATTCGGCGCGTTTTACTGTCCTGAAAGAGTGAGTGAAAATGTAAATTCAATGTAATTTCCAAGTATAAATGGTTAAAGAAGAAACCAGGAAATAGAACTAAGAGGATTTCCTCATGTTCACTGTTAAAAAAATGTGAGAATTCGTGTTGTTTTTCTCTAGACTTTATCGATATTGTTTCAATGAAAGCAATGAGTAATAATGACATGATTTGATTATTATAAATTTCCTCAGTAGAATACACGTTTTGATTTGTAGCAATAATATTACTCTATTATGTACTTGAAAGTGTGTTTTTTCCCGAAAAAGGTCTATTTTCCTGGAAGTGGTTTTGGATTATCCGCGAAAGAATTCAGGTGACGTAAAGCGCGAGGAAAGAAAAGGAGAAGAAATAGCGTATTTTTTTTGGTTATTTCGATAAATGATATCTAATTAGTACCCATAATAAATTATTTGTACCTCAGAGCTGTTTATTCGTTAAATCTGTATCAATAATGCATTTGGCTGATTTTGTTCTGTTCAATCAAATCAAAGAATTCACTTTTGAAGTAGTTTTCAGTGGGATATTCAAACTTATGGCCAAAAAAGAACTTCCGGCAGCTTCATACTATTCTCCACTTCCATTGGATTTCAACGGTCAAAGTTAGGTCAAAGTGTCTTCAGTGTAACGGAAACTAAATACGAGTGGAGACGATGTGCAACAAACTCGTGTAGAAAAACTTTTTGAATGGCGAAAGTTCTTTGCCTTGTCATGAAGTGTTGCTTCTAAATATCATTTAAGTAAAAAAAATTAATTTGTCTTAAGAAAAAGACAGCATTAAGTAAGAACAATAAGCAAAATGACCGACGAAAATTTAAATTGTTCAAAAATGTTTATTGAAATATTTTTGTTAAAAGTTCACATTTCAGATGTTGCGCAAGATATTCAAAAATAGTGTTGATTTGTTTCCATTTAAGCGTTGGCCGAAGCACCAGCAGAGGATGATGAACCACTACCGCCAGGTGGAATAAGACCACCGAGACCACCGAGACCACCGAGATCACCGAGACTTCCAGCAGTACCGTTAATAAGACTACTGATATTGCCGAGACCACCTAGAAGATCTTAGAGAACGATTTCAGCTAGGCACTCATTTCACACATCAATTATCCTTCAAATACTTACTGCCAGGTAGAACAGGACCACTGAGTTGTGGAAGAGCAACACAAGCTCCAGCGAATAAAACAGCGATAATGATGAATTTCATTTTGATTTAGCTTTCAATTGACCTCTCTTAGATGAAGCTGACAATTCGAATGATTTTCTCATCGATTCGATCGTCTTTTATACACAATTTCTACCGACAAATCCAACCAGAAATTTACCACGAGCAAACAAAATGTTGCGGAACTCGGCAAATATTTTGAACCATTTGACGCATTCAATGGGGCAAATTTAAAACAGATTTTCAGACGCAAATATTGAAATTTTGGCTATTTTGGGATACGTTTTCAGTTGTTCGATCGATTCATTTTGCTTCGTTTGTTTTTCAAACCAATGAAAAAATATTTTTGTTCCTTAGAACTCAAGAAATAAACACAAGGCTAACAAACGTGGCACATGTGAGTGGCAATTGCGAGGGGCAAATCACTCTTAGGTATTACTTTTACATAAATGGTATTACTTGGATATTACTTTTTTTCGGTATTACTTTTTTCATAGAAATATCAAAAGTAATACCAGAGGTATTACTAGAAATAACTGAGGTATTACTTTTCTATTTGGTATTACTTTTGAGTGATTTCCCCCTTGGGCAATTGTTTGTTGAATAAAAAGAATAACATTCGTAATCCCGAACTTTTCCGTTGTCCGCACTTCAGTTAAAACTTCGACAATTTTGTATGGAAGGTACCCATAAATCGACTCCGATTAGCTCAAAACTTTCTGAGGTTTCATTTTTTGGCGAAAAAATGAGATTGTAAAAGACTTATGCTGATCGCATTGTCAAAAGTTTGGTTTTTGGCCCTCAATTTTTTACTTTTCCGTACACAACGTGTCAATAGAAATTGGTCCCGAACACTTTTTTTTCGCAAAATTAGCTTAGATCATCATAAAAACTCATGAAACGCGTAGAAAATCACTTTTTGAGACACTTTTCTGTTCGTGTGCCGTCGTCGTCGTTGTCGTCGTTGTCGTCGTCGTCGTCGTAGCTGTTTGTTAACACGATAACTCAAAAAATAATTGAGATAATCCATATCTGGAAATGCCAAAAGTTTTGTATTCGAAAAACTTAGTTTAAGTTCGAAGATGAGCCATTTTCGATTTGACCCTGGGGTACTTGCCTTAAGAAAAACCTCAAAAAATTGACACTTTTGTATGGAAGGTACCTGTAAATCGACGTATCGAATTCGGCTATCGTTCGAATACCTCTTAAGCGTGCATATTCAACGATCTCTTTGATGTCTTCTTGGCTATAAACCAAACTCGCATCATATGCACCTTTTTCGCTTAGTTCTGGGTATACCTTACTCTCATACGGAAAACTGTGTGTTTGAAATAGACAAACGGATGATTAATTCAAAACCGTTGAATCAACAGTCTTCGGTAAATGTTCGCATTATGGCCAGTGGCCCACAATCCATGGATTATGTTAACCATCGTTCAAGATGCAATGAACGAAAAAAGTACCAAATAAATTACCTGTGATCGTCAACGATATGCCAGTGAAACACGTTTAGCTTATTGTAAGCCATACCGTCGAGGATTTGCTTCAATGTGGACACACTGATGAAATGACGAGATGTATCGATCATTAAGCCACGGTGCGAATACCTTGGCTTATCATCGATTTTCGTTTTCTTTACTTGAATCTATTTCAATAAAGACCAACGAAATGAAGAGAATTAATATTTTGATATCAACTTCAAGGCTTGTCAAGCATTTAAAAAAGGCAATGTTTTGTCTCTTTTATTTCCTCTTTCAACCAAATATACTTTACCGTCATGTGATCAGGTGAAACGATAAATAGTTGCGAAAACGTTTCCAAACCACGCAAAATTCCCCAAATCGAATCGGACTTTAGGTAAGCCGATACACCAGCAACATTCAATTGATCTATGAGAAAAAAAAATCAAGTTTACGAATAGCAACAAAGTGTGTATCCATCAAGGAATAAACTTGTTATTGTGTGACTCATCTTGCAATGTAAGACTATTAAGTATTGAGACTGGTTGTTATGATTGTGACTATAAGACTAACTATTTTATTAAGCATTTCAATGACAACATATTATAGCAAGGGCTACTACAGTACTACATAGTATCAAAGCCTACTATATAATATCTTCCCTCTTTTAAAGAATATGATTAACATTTTGATTCAATTTCAAATAAAGAAAATAGAGCTAATGGATCTGCGTCTACTTCTTCGCCGTCGGGAAAGCGTGGTTTAATTTGATTGGCATGAGCAGGAACTACACGAACTTTTGTTGCAACGGAATAGTTGACGAGACCAGTCTTGTCAATGATCCATCCTTCTTCCCGATGCCATGAATTACCTTTGTGAATCATAACAAAAACGCTGTCATCGATGTTGAATTCGCGTTTTTTAGCTCCATGCTTTTTATTGAACTGCTTTTCCATCTTCATGTTACGTTTACATTCAAATGGCTCTGGTGGTTTTAGTTGATCAAATGTTGTTCGCATTTTTCGACCAAGTAACACTTCAGCAGGCGATTTTTGCTCAGGACAGTTCATGTTTGGAGTAAATCGATAAGTTTTAAGAAATGTTTCAAGTTTCTCATCGATTTAATTCAGCTTCGATAAGAGGTTGAACAGCATAAGGTGTTGGTCGAGCCAGGCCTTTTTCGAAACAACTTGCAAAATTTTTCTTTAGAAAACTTGTATAGTCGTTAAGTTTAATCACTTGGAAAACACTTTCGTTTGAAGGTTCCATAATAATGTTAGATGCACAAGGTAAAACAGTTTTGAAAATCTTTTCTTTGACACAAAAATCGTCGATAGGTCGTTTCCAAAGATTGAACAATGACATTAAATCATTACCGAAAACGTTGAGATCGCAATTTTCAGACACGTAGATAGTTGTTTGATGAGTCTGATTTTCGAAAGTAATTGAACAGCTGACTTGGCCAATCAATTTAAGAGCGTTGCTGAAGCGTCTTTCGGAACTAAAGATGTTTGATTTAGTGAAAGTTGTAGTTTTTCACAATTTTCTTTCGAAATGACAGTAGCGTCAGCGGCACAATCGATTTGTAGCCCACATGGATTTGTGTCAATGTCAATATCGATATATTTGCGATTTGAAGAATCGACTTTGTGAACGAAAACCGGAGATATTTTTTTGTTCACTTTTTGATTGTTATTTTCACTCACTTTTTTGTTAAATTTCGAAGTAGAGGCGGATACACTGTTTTTGTTTAAATCACTTTGATTTTTGAATTTCTTTTTAATACAGCACTTTTCAAAATGTCCTTTGATTGAGCAAAAGCTACAGTTGAAATTTCTAGCTGGGCACTCAAGAAAAGAATGAGGCTTATTTCCACAACGTTTGCAAATGTTAGAGTTGAAAAAATTGTTGATTGAATTCGAACTGGATTGGAACTTTTGATTTCCAAATTTCTTCTTCGAAGCAATTTGATTGATCGAAGTAGTCGTTTCGATGTCGAGTGATTTTTGAATCATCGCAGAATCCTTTTTCAGGTTGACAAGGCGATCGTATTCACTAGCGATGCTTTCGAGTGTGACTTTCTCATGGTCTTATTCCAATTTTGAGAGCAGCTTTGTTCTCAAGTCTAAATCGGTCTTCGATTTCATACCACACAGATAAATCAGGCATTTGAATTGGTCTGGTGATATTTTACCGAGCTGGAACTTTTCGCATGCTTTGTTCACATTTCTCATGTATGTTAAATTTGACATGTCGTCGGTTTTAACAACTGAAAAGCACTTATAACGAATGTTAAAAAGTGATTCACGACGACCGAATAATTTTGTTAATTTTTCGACGGTTTCTTCAAATGAGAAATCTGATGGGGTCTTCGGTAGAATGTAATTTGTGTATTTACTGTGAACTTGAGTTTCAAGCTTGCGAACTAAGAGGCGAACTTTAGCTTTATCATCAAGGTTTCTGGCATCTTCCGAAAATAGATCTTTGTATCTATTGTACCAGTTATCAAAAGTTGAGTCGGATTCGATGTCAAAGTTGAACTCAGAAATTGAATTTGAAAGTGATTCGATCAGGAATTCAGTCTCGGTTTTTTGTCGAGGTGCTCCTGTAATTGATTTGATTTGATTGATGTTTCCCGAGTTTTGAAGATGATTTAGCAATTGAGTGATGTTTTCTTGAGTTTGGGAGTGTCGTTCCTCTTGTTGATGCATGTACTCTTGGAAAAAGGCCATGAATGTAGATTCTCCATTATCAGCTTCTCCGAAATGATCAGATGACGGAGTTTCAGCCATTTTTCAGTGATTGTTTTTTTGTTATATTTGAAATAAGTCGAAGGTTCTTTCGAGCTTGTCGCCAATATTAAGTATTGAGACTGGTTGCTATGATTGTGACTATAAGACTAACTATTTTATTAAGCATTTCAATGACAACATATTATAGCAAGGGCTACTACATAGTATCAAAGCCTACTATATAATAAAGACTTACATGCTTCGTTCATTTGAGCATTCGGCTTGTCCTCGCAAGGGTTTTTCAAATTAATTGTGATTTTATTAAAGAATTCAGCAGCGTTCTGGTTGTTTTGAAATTGTTGTGTTTCTTTTGTGTTGGGTTTGGACAAAAGCTTGATGATTTCATCACATCGGCTTATGGCTTGTCTCAATATGTCGCAATCTTCACTTTGAACCTATTTATTGAAACGGGGACAATTATTTACAAAATGCTACGTGTACATTCTCCTCAATGCAAATAGATTTTAATTGAATGCTTTAATTTAATCAAGTATGTCAAATATTTTTTTATTTGGAAAAATTTCTTGTATCACCTGGAATTTGAAAACGGTTGGTCGAAGGACAAAAAATTTGTTAAATGATGTTTGTTTGAACGGCTTCGGCCAAATTTCACCTATTTCATGGACAAAAAGGCAATGTGTTTGGTTTTATATAATTGCTTCCTTTCGGTTAGAAGGGAAATCAAGGATTTTATATAAAAAATTATTACCTTCGGTTGCACTAATTAATGGGCCAGGATCATCGGATCACTTTGCAAAATTCAAAATGAAACACACCAAAATCAATATGTATAGCTTCATGGTGTGTGAAAATCAACAAATATGAGTTGACTGGATGCACGATATGAACAATTTAAATGGTACTCGATTTAAAATTCGGCTTTTTATACAATCTGGCTGTATTCGGTTGTATAAGAAATATTTCTTACAATGAATTCATTGTCGCTACTGTTGCGTAATCAAAAATGAAGAATGTCCGGATGAAAGGGGGAATAATCTCTGGTCTTAAAATACTTTTAAGTTGATATATAGATTTATCGCATTTTTACCGAAATTTAATGTGATTCGTAGAATACGTATTCGTGTTTACGCTAGCTCAGTGGTGGTAGATGGTAGAGAAGATAATAAAAAATGTGCTGTTTATTGTAGT